GAAATCGACTTTCCTTATCTCTCACAGGTTTGATCCAGATTTCATTTGCAACGCCTCCGATAACTCCGGCCGTTACTCCTACCAGGCGCAGCCGGCTATTTGCAGGTGGAACCTGGTGAAGCTAGCAGAGGCTCTTGCTCCAGAGCTGCCACCAGACCGGGCTGAGGCTGTTATGGATGAGTACCTGGATCTGTATAACGGTTTCTACATAGAGAACATGAGGAAAAAACTGGGTTTATTGAAGAAGGAGGAGCCTGAAGATGAAATTCTGATCACTGAGCTGCTGCAGGCCATGCACAACACAGGTGGGACAGGAGTTAGAGAGCATTATAATGCCTAGCAGCAGAGACTGATGAGAGAGCATTTAATCTAGTTTGGGTATACAATTTGTTCATACAGTACTGCAGATAAATTTAAGTAGTCACCTATTGCACCAGTATTGTAACGTTTTCTGTCCCCGTCCTGCAGGTGCTGACTTCACAAACACCTTCCGCAGCTTGAGTCAGATTTCCTGTCCCACTGAGGGAGAAGGTGAAGGAGAAGAGGAGCTTGCGAAGAAAGCCACAGCCCTCCTGCTGGAACAGTGTGCCTCTTTAGAGGAGCTCAAAGCCGCCAACAAACCTACTATGGATCCACGGTGAGTGAGCCAAAGACGCTATATACAGTACAGACCACACCATTTGACTAAATTACTTCTATATTAAAGTTGTAGAGGGACAAGAGAAGATACATCAGTGAGATTATTTTAGTGACCCTCTGACCTTTAGTCTACCTCCACCACAAGATCATAATTGAACTTTGAACACTTTAGCTCATGACAGAATGCAGCATCTTGAAAACTAAATACCAAATATGTATTGATTGCTTTTGATATTCTTGGCCTCCAAAAGATGAATCCTAATGATCTCAGAGACAAGCCTGACTTTTTTTTCCTGTAGCAGCACCAGTTGGTCAAAATGTCCACTTAAACAGAAGGAGCGCGAGTTGATTGATAATGTTATAATGGAGCACCAGAGCATCAATGTGCTCTATTCATGTGCTGAGGAGTCTTTTACTGCCACCTTTTGGACAAACTTGGCTTTTTTTTTTTTTTTTTTTTTTTTTGCCCACTTCATGAAAAGATACTAATGTTATAATGTTCAGACTGTCCAGATTTGTCTTGTTTGGTGTTATGCACATTGCAGCTTCTGAGAGCTTCTAATGGGGCTTTATGTATTAGTCTTGTTTGAGACTGAGATGGGGAGAGGAATATTGTATTGGAAATGGGTGAAATGAAAAAAAAAAAATAGTTTGAAGTCTCTTAAAAACTGCTTTAATTGTTGTTTTTTGGGAACAAGTTGTAAAAACCACATAGCCAACTCTGACATATTACCACACACAGTTGGTTAAACAATGGCCTAATTATACATTCAGCTGACGTGGAGTCATGTTTGTGTCCAGCACTGTCCATCAGACAGGGTCAAAACAGTAAAGCTGCAGTTAGAAAAACCCGAAACAATGAGTTTAAAGAAGGGGAAAAAGCTCCATTGAGCAGAGGGGAGCTGCAGTGTTGGATTATAATACTCTTTGGGTTTGTCACAATCAGTCCATTGTTAACATAAAAATATGAATATAAAAAATAGTGCAAGTTCAAGGCCTTTCACTTCACTGAAATACTAGTAATGACCCACAGTGATATCTTTCGGTTCCATTTTCAAAATGAGATTTGAAAGTATTTGATTTCATAAAATGCAACTGAAAGTCAGCCCTAGCAGACCTGTTCTATTTTTTGAAAGTACCTGTGACCTGACTGTCCCGAGTAGAAAGTTACCTTATCATAGATGCTGCCGAGGCGAGGATTTTTCAGTTGAAACAATGCTCGAGAAAATCCAACATTTCATAATCCGTCAATGTGGTCCAGTGTTGTGTAGTGTTTAATACCGTGTGGAAAACTTTATAATTTTGTCTGGTCCTGTTTGTTTGGAAGCCATAGTGGGAAAATCTGATTGTGGACCAAACCAGATGTAGACATGGATTATGGAGGAATCGGAATAACGCATTGAAATGCTTTATCTGATTTCATGCCTATCCTAATCTGCGCATGTAAACATAGTCTGATTAAGTGAATGTGCCATGAATATAATCATGTTTTTCTTTACCTCACTTCCCTCATGAAGTATCTAACAAAGATAAAAATCTGGACTGTCTGCACTGGCAGCTCCGCTCCTCTGTTTTCTCCAACATGCCAATAACAATTGTAACTGTTATGATTTCTGTCTGCTGTTGACAGTGAGCTGGCGATGCTGCTCTCTATGGCTCAGAGCAACCCAGCGCTGTTCCAGATGATCTCAGACAGGATGACAATAGCGAGGCAGTTAGACAAACTCAGCAGACTGAAAGACCTGATGGAGACCAGCCAGGAAGAGCTGAAAACCAAACAGGCGGAGGAGTGGACCAGCTGGATCACACGCTATAGGTGAGACAGAGGGAGACAGAAATGATGATGTAAATCAAGAGCAGAGGGTGAGAAGCTACATGAACAGGATGAAGTTTTTTTTTTAAAATTTTTTGGATGGTGATGGGTGGAAGTGTGACTGATAAAGAGGGCGTACAGACAGAAAGAGCAGGAAATGAGTTGTTGAGTCTGACATTGTTCCATTGCTATAACGCTCCAAGTGTTTTTGTTATCATTGCTGCAGGAAGCGTCTGGCTCGCGAGCTGGAGGGCCAGAGTGATGTGCAGGCTGTGCAGGAGGAGAGGGTGAGGGTGATGGACAGCACCAACCCTCGTGTCATTCTCAGGAACTACATTGCCCAGAATGCAATAGAAGCTGCTGAGAACGGAGACTTCTCTGAGGTCAGGCTCGGATTCACTGTGACACTCTTAGACTGTAGTTCAACCACGTGAGGAAAAACCATTAAAACTGAGCCTGAAAAAGTGTTCCTGCAGCATTAAGAGTGATTTCAAAAGTTGACATTAGGATGCACTTCGGTTACACACAATTCCCTTTTGCTCTCTTCAGCTTTAGCGTTTCAATCTCTGCTCTCACTTCTTCTCTGCACTGCAGGTCCAGCGGGTCCTCAAGGTTCTGGAGAAGCCTTTTTCTTCCCAGCCAGGTCTGGAGCTTCCTGCGTGGGTTGGCAGAGGCGGTGCCACTGAACAGGGAGAGAGGGATGAAGGAGAGGAGCAACAGCAAGAGGCTGCATCTACATCCACAGACACAGCCAGGAGTCCTGTTCCCTATGACAGCAAGCCCCCAGCTTGGGCCCATGAAATCTGTGTTACATGATCTTCGTAGTAACTTCCCTGATTGTTAGCCTGCCTGCCTAAAATGACAAGAGAGTTTCTTTAATCCATATTTTTTACCTTTATATACCCCCCCCCCTCCCTCAGTCACTGTGTAACTCTCTGTTACTTTAGCAGGCAGCATCAAGGAAGTTAGTGTGAGGCACGACACACTACAGGCTACCTAGCTGATACAAAGCAGACAGGGAATGAGTTGAGTTTGGTGGTACAAATATATATAAATTACAAACATGATGTTGCCATGTCTGGTGAAAAGCTTTTGACCATGTGTGAAACGTTTTTTCTGATGACATTGACATTTCTGCTTAAAACAGAATTTTGTAATGGGCTTCAACGTCTAAATTTGAGGAATTTGCTCGACAAGGGGTTGGCGGGGTCACCCTTAAATCCATGCCTGGCATTTTTGAATGCAAGATGCATTTAGTGAAAGAAAAATAGATGGGATTTTTTTTAGACAAAAGTGCACACAAATGCAGTTTATGAAATACATTTAGGGGCATTTTTATTATTTCTTGTGACCTTTCGTCTTTGCAAAAAAAATACCCTCAACTTGTTCCCTGTCTGTTTTGTGTTTCGTTAGATATTGATGACGGCTCAGACAACACGTCCGGCAGTGACCTGTCTGACTCTGATAAACTGTGTGGTGTCGCCTCAAAATATACCAAATAGTATGATTTGTGTGTGTGTGAGTGAGTGAGTGAGTGAAAGAGATGATCTTTTAGGCACGTTTGTTGGTGAAAGGGAATGATTGCACATGATCCAATGAGCCGCAGAAGATAAGACACGCACAATATATTCTCCTATAATAGAAAGCACTGTGTTTTGCCACTGTCATAGCAGCACTTGATACGCACAGAACCACAAACCATGTTTTATCTTAATATGTTCCATAGGCATGCAAACTACTGTTGGTCTAGATTTGAGTGAAGGAAAAAAAAAATGGGATCTGCATATTTGAGTATTTTAGTTTGGCTGTGACCATGCACACATGTTTAGGAAGTTTAATATAACTGGTATAAATGTGATTCATACCCTTCCTTGAATTTGTTTGAGCTATGGTGCGGCATCATAGCACTGACTATAACTTCCTCCATTTGAACCAGGATCACTCTGTTGTCTAGGCAACTGGATTCAGATTTTTTGTCAAAATAAAGCCATTAGGCTCTAACAAATAATATAAATGGACAGAAAGATTTTTTTTTCATTGTTTTACATTTGCTTAATAAATATGAAATATAAGTTTGAGCTCTTCCTCAGTTAGCCTTAACCTATCCTAATAAACTGAGCAGTGACTACACATTACGTACCTTTTTTGTACCTAATACACACCTACCATTTTTATTTTAGGAGCTGAACGCCTCCACATTTCTGTGTGTCATAATATATTTGATTGATGGCGCCATTCTGTTAGTTGATTGATATAAGTGAATGTTTAAACCTTCTCTATTTGTATAAATGTCACACAATCTAAACCTTCCAGTTTGTTTATGAAACGACCGTTTCCTCGTTCTGTTTCCTGGACACATATAACAGTGTAATATTTCCCTAACCACATAGTTGTGCTTGTGATCACCTCTGGGCGTCAGCAACGCTCATGTCCCAGCAAGCTCTACCCTAAGTACAGGGCGCAGCTCCGAGGAGCAAAACCTACAGTAGGTGTAACCCAGCCAGAGCTTTCAGAAGCCTTTTAAGTCGCTATCCAAATTGTGCGCACTTGCCAACACATTTCACAGGCATGCTGTCAGTCCGTACTCTCCTGTTACTCGCATTCCAGTCCCTCTTTCACCTTTAATTGTAGGCCCTCAGCAGGAGTGGCTTTTGGTGACCTCAGGCTGCGCCCTAAGCGGCAGACACGCAGAGCTGCGCAATGATCGAGGGTGAGCGCATAGGTGGGATCTGGGACAATGGGTGCGTAGCGTCCGCAGACCAAACAAAAAAAACGGCCAAAGAACAATCTCTCCTAAACTTCTTATTTTACGTTTTAAGAAAATAAAATGTCTAAGCGAGTCAGACCCGGTTACTACCGCCAAGAAGTCAACAAGACCTCCTGGGAAGTGCCGGAGCGGTACCGGGATCTGAAGCAGGTGGGGACCGGGGCGTACGGGACGGTATGGTAAGTGAAAACCGCCCCACACACACACACACACACACTGGGAGACGATATAACACAGATCGCACTACTGGTTTATGTGGAGCGGGGTAACAAAAGAGAGCGACGGAACAGATGGTGACTTACAGGCAGCTGCACTGTGCCTCAGGCAAACAAAAGGACAAGTATCTGCGCTCCGCTGAACACATGCTGCCCCACTTCCTGATATGATGGAGACACTTGCGCCGATAACGCCACCTCGGCGCAGCCATCCTCACATCTCTAGTCGTCTTTAAAGATTGTGAAATCATAAATAGCGCGCGGGTGGTGGTGGGTTAAAGCAGCTGCGCACGTCCAAGTTTACAGATATCCGACACAACGAGCTGCTTTTTGGGCACCTTGCGCGTCTCGCAGCATGCGGCCCTTTGTTGTCAATGATTGACTGTGGGCGGTTGCTAAACTGCCCCGACTCACCGTATGCGACTTAACAACACATGAGCAACTCCGAAATATTGTGGTCGGACACAGGCTGGACATGGAGGAGCCGCCTGCTACAGCCAGAGATCACAGCTGGATGCAGCAGATGAGGGGAAGGGACAGGCCAGGGGGCTTTGTGTACTTGTGTGTGTGTGTGTGTGTGTGCGTGTGTGTGTGCGCGTGTGTGGTCACAGGTTTTGAGCACATACTGAAATTCCTGATCACAAAATAAGAAAGTACATCTTCAGTTATACGCTCAGTGAAAATCAGATGACGATTTTTATTTAGGTCAAAAGGAAGTTCCTGGACTAGATCATTATTTCCTCATACTGGTCACGTTTCAGATCAACTCATTAGGCCTACATATTTCTGTCTCACACACTCTGATGTGTTTTTGCCCTCAGCTCAGCAGTGGACTCCAGAACAGGAGGCAAAGTGGCAATCAAGAAGCTGTACCGACCTTTCCAGTCTGAGCTCTTTGCAAAACGGGCCTACAGGGAGCTGAGGCTTCTCAAACACATGAAGCATGAGAATGTAAGACACAGCCTAATCGCTGCATGATCATTTTTTATTAGTTCTGACTAGATGGAATCAAGATATCTGAGTATTCATGCATATAGAATAATGAAATGAGAGGACATCTGTGTTAAAAGTGACCTATGGGACAAAAGATTATGTCCACCCTGGGTGATATATTTATATTTCTGCCTGATGCAGGTGATTGGCCTGTTAGATGTGTTTACTGCTGACCTCTCCCTGGACCGATTCCACGATTTGTAAGTGCAATTTATGCCCCTGCCAATACTGTGGGACTGAATTAACCTAGCTTGAAAGTAGCAGCCGGTTGTAAAGTGTTCACAGCTGTGATGTTTATCTTGTTCTTCTTAAAGTTATCTGGTGATGCCATTCATGGGGACAGATCTGGGGAAGCTGATGAAGCTGCAGAGACTGTCAGAAGAAAAAATTCAGTATTTGGTTTATCAGATGCTCAAAGGGCTTAAGGTGGAGAACTCGGCTTTCATGATATAGTGTGGACAATTTATTCCTTGAATTTAATTGTTCTGTTGATTAAATTCCTGTTCTTCTGCATTCTTTTATTACAGTACATTCATTCAGCTGGTATAATTCACAGGGTAAGTTGTCTTTTTTATATATATATATATATACACACACACACACACAGTAGGCTACATTTCCACCAAGTATGTGTGAGCTAAGGATTCATACATTCTTATCTTATGAGAAAAGGGAGTTGGTGTGCAAACGTATACCCTCCCCATTTTATTGGACTGTTATGACTGAGGCTTAGTTTTTCTTTCGCATGTTTGCTACAGACTCAATGTCACAGTCATGTTGAGTCTTTTCATATCAACTTTGCAGGACCTCAAACCAGGAAATCTGGCCATCAACCAAGACTGTGAGCTCAAGGTACAGCACACCCTGATAGCCCAAACAAACACAACCCACAGCCTGCTTTAACTGTTAAATACTTAATTTATGGTGTTCCAATCAAAAATGGGCAATTTGTGATTGTACAATCATCAATGCACTGCACAGAATTTCATTGCCACTTCGACATATTTCGGCAAGTCCTTAAAGTCTTACTACCAGATTTGTTGCCTCACTATATGACCTTGATGTAAGTGTTGCTGTGTCTGACTCTACCATGTTTCTGTTCATGTTCTGTCAGATTTTGGACTTCGGTTTGGCGCGGCAGGCAGACAGTGAGATGACGGGGTACGTGGTGACTCGCTGGTACAGAGCCCCAGAGGTCATCCTGAGCTGGATGCACTACACTCAGACTGGTAATGTAGAACTAATTACAGTCATGTTCACTGCTGAATGCCCCTGTTATTTTATGATGGAGCGTGGATTTGATATTATTATCATAGTCGAATGCTCTTAACTCAAGGCCTCTCCTTCAGTTATGGTTTACTGCATTTCTCAGAATGAACCTCAAGAGAACAGGCTGGGACCTGTTGTTTTCTTACTTTTTCCAAAAATGTCTTGCACTTGTGGTTGTAGTGCACTCTGGTCTATTGAGGCCACAGTCAGTAGAGAAATTAGTATTTATTCTTCTTCTGTGACAGATTTAATAAGAAATATCTAATATACTGTATATATATTATACAGGGCTTTTAAAGACACTCACACACACTATATAAAATAACACAAAAATGGAGCAGCAGGAAAAGACACAGTATTAAAAGTAGGTGAGCCAGGGAGGTAGAGAGGGTGGGAGAGTATTTTATTTTGATGGGGAGAGAGTTCCAGAGATAAAGATGGCTCTGTCACCCCAGTTTCATTGTTTGAATCAGCTGAGCGGAGGTTTCATGCTGAGCTGGGTTTGGAGTCAAAGTGGAAGGTGTTAGAAACACCTGAGTTCAATGGAGTCAGACAGTAATGATAAGTGTTATCCACTAGGCGGTGCTCTCTCAACACGGTACAACAGACACTCTGGGAGTTCTTGCATTTTATGCTGTTGATCACTGACCTACGATGTGATGTTGTTGTAAACTCTTCAGAATATCTGGAAATCTGAAATGTGTGGTGTTTATCAACTGCGATTTCTGTCTCTTCCACAGTGGATATTTGGTCTGTGGGCTGCATCATGGCGGAAATGCTGCAAGGAAAACCTCTTTTTAAAGGCAGTGACCGTATCCTTTTTTATCTTCCTGACCTTTTCCATTGACATTTTCAGGATGTTCAAAGAGACAAAAGATGGAGAAATTCTTTGCAGAAATACTGCACAATTCTCCCATGAATCTATATGAAAGAATTATCCTGCGAAATGTGAATCATCTTTGAACCTTGACCCCTGTTCGTCAGACCTAGATCAGCTGACTGAGATCATGAAAATCACAGGAACACCAACTCAGGAATTTATATCAAAACTGGAATCTGAAGATGTGAGTGCAGAACATGCAATTCATACAACTCCCTGGTTTTATTGTACATCCCACTTGTGCCCCCAAATCCTCCAAAGTTTATGAACTGGAGGCACAATTTGGCACTGTCATAAAATCATTATGCGTATCTTTAAATTCATATACACACCCCTCAGATACTAATGTCAAGACAATGATTTATTCTAGATTAAATGTATTGATTTTTTCTCACAGGCCAAAAGCTACATCAGAAGTCTTCCAAAAGTTGAAAAGAAAGACCTTCAAAAGGTGATTTTCACAACTAATCCACAAGGTAGGACACGGTCGGCCTTTGAATTCTATCTATTTTCAGTTCCTGTTGACACTCTTTCCTCACTCTGTTTTTCCTCCTTCCTCAGCCGTGTCTGTGCTGGAGCGCATGTTATTGCTGGATCCGCAGAGCAGGGTAACCGCTGCAGAGGCTCTCACGCTGCCTTACTTCACCGAGTTCAGAGAACCAGAGGAGGAGACGGAAGCACAGCTGTACGACCACTCCTTAGACAACACAGACCTGCCGCTGGACCAGTGGAAACGTAAGGATGAATGGGGAGGAGCTGTTGGACTGGTTATAGTGCGATGTAACCAAAAAGACCAGTAACTGACTGGGGATATATACTGATCGCTGTCCTGCTGTGCTTCTTTCTTCTTTAGGTCACACCTTCACAGAAATCTTGACCTTCAAACCAGTTGTGCCAGAATCCAAGGAAACCTCACTGTAAAACACGAAGAGACGGCTGTGCAGCCTGGGGCCAGAACAAACTAACATGTCTTTTTATCTTGTGCTCAAGTGACTCTTTGATCACAAGACTTATTGAATGCCCACGGACTATATTCTCTTTTAAGTGCAAGCTGCTGTGTTTTTGATGATTTCCCAGTTGTGGATTTTTCGTCGTCGTAAATTTCAGCATGTTTTTGGTCCAGTAGCTTGTTTCCTGAGTCTAGCATTAGATCCTTTCAGCACTTCTTTCAATGCTGAGGTTGCTATGCCAGCTCACGTATACATAACTGATATAAGGTCAGGTAATAATATTTTTTAAATATTTAACTGGGCAATCAAGGCATTACGAGTTGATTTTAATCAGAATGGTACATATATGTTTTAGGAGCATTTAATAAAACACATTACTCCCTACAAGTTGGTATTAATTACAAATGAAGAAATTACAATAGACACATTTGACTTATGAGAAAACAGAATTTCTTGAAGAATCCTGGTGAAATTTATTGTTTGATTTCCAAGAGTCATTTGTATTTGTGGTAAAAATATGATTTTAAGGTAATAGATCTAGGCAATACGTAGTTTATTTTGTGAGGTAATCTCCCTGTCAGTGACCACATGTCCTTAAAAGACGTTTGTTTAGAATTGTTTGGGATGTCCTCGTGTGTTTGTGTGTGTGTGTGTGTGTGTGTGTGTAGACTACATGTCTGTTGTGACCTTGTCATTCCTCCCAGTGGCCTTAATGTTAACGACATAATACTGTTGAACCGTATGAAAACCATTCCCGGAAGGGTAAGCACAAACATTCACATATTCATTTCAAACCAAAAATACATACATACATAAATCTGATTATATTGTTTTTTTGAAACAGAAAGTTGCACAAAACACATTCTCATCGTTGATTTGTGAATTCATATTTCTAGCACCACTCCTGTATTTTTATTATTAAAGATTCTCTTTGAAAATGACGCACATGTTTGGTTTTTTTTCTGTAGTCTTCTCACAAACAAAACCTGATGGATTTTGGCTCAAAGAATATGGAGTCAAAGCTGCACATGTTTAAATGCTGAGGTATGATACACAATACAAAGAAAGTAGGAATCAAAAGAGTAAAATGGGACAAAACGAGGAGATTTTGAGGGTGGGGGTGGTAGAGGTTGAAAAATAATCATTTATTTTATAACAACTATCGTATATACAATTATCCACAGTTTTATAAGAATACTGCTGTGAAATCAATAGTTATCTAAGTCTTAACTCCGTACCCTTGACAAGGTAGACCAGCAGTTTCGTAGTGCATTTGAGTAAAAGTGGAGGATTTACAGGCGATGGCTTCAAAAAAGAAATGTTCCAACTGTAGCAACAGAGGCCAAGACATCCTGATTTGAATGATGGAGGCGTTAGTTTCTCAGGTTGTCTGTCCATCCATCCGTCCTATTCTCGTGAACATGATAGCTGAGTAACGCTGTGAGGGAATTTCTACAAATTTGACAGAAACATTTACTTGGATTTGAGGATGAACAAATTACATTTTGGTGGTCAAAGGTCAAGGTCACAGTGACCTCACAAAACACGGCTTTGGCTTTGTGAGTGCGATATCTCAGTAAAGCACTGAGGGATTTTCTCTAAATTTGGGGTAAACGTTCACCTGGACTCAAGGACTAACTTTAAATTTTGGTGTTCAAAGGTCAAAGCCTACATTTCCCATAATCTTTCAGCTAGATTCTTCCTACCATGTCAGTATCTTTTAAAGTCCACACTGACATAGCATCATCAGAGTTATCTCCTCAGACTTGACAAAGCTCCCTCAGAACCACTGAAGACATGATTATTCTGGCTATTATAAGTGGCTTTTAAGTGTAAAATTGGTGACATTCCCCTTTAAATGATACTATTGCATATTCTATATGAATACCCAAACTGTTGTCCAGCCATCAAAGCAGAAGGAGGGCATTTCACTTTTGTGTTGGACATGCAAATTAACACTAGGTGGCAGCATGTAAACAAACCACGGCCGTATCTATTGGAGTAGTAATGTTGGTTGGTCCACCACTTTAATCCCGACTGAATCATCTCTGCAAATAGGAGATGCAGTTCCTTGAAATTTCCTACGGATATTTAAGGTCCCCAGAGGATGAATGGTAATGACTTTGGTTATTCAGTCGGATCACATCACATTTGCTCAAAATGTCAGTTTGTCCTTTACTTTGGTTTACGACCAAATGCTTTTCAAACTGATGACGGTCCCATCAGACTCAGCTGTAGCTTGAATGATAATTAAGCTAACACGGTAAACAAGGATGGTGAACATGTTCCAACTTACTCCTGAAAAACCTGTTAGCAGTGTCACTGTGAGCGTGTTAGCATAATGAGATAGCACTTATCTCAAACAAGCAGAGTCATAGTAGCTGTTGCTGTGCTTTATTGTATTGCAGTAAATGCTGACAACCTTAGTTTTGTAATTAATATGATTGATAACTTCAAGAAGCAAATGTATAAACATTCATGCAGAATGTCTATTTGCTTTTAGATTCTGCTCATTCCTCCACATACAGTACATTCTCCACTGGCGGGTGTTGAATTTAACAAGCTTGTCTTGAGTGACCTCCAGATCCTTGACTCCCAAGGGTGACTCCCACGAGGACGAGTTTCCTTCCTGGGCCTGAACTCCTCCAAACTAAACCCTGGGTGTATGTTGTGTTGGTCGTACACACACACACACACACACACACACACACACTGGGGTTCTGCTGGATAGTTCACCGAAAAGTCAGAGAGTTCTGTTCCCGTTGCAGACAGGAAAACAGAGGGGAAAGCACATTTTTTTACCCCACAACCCCTCCTCTCATACACACACACACACACACACACACACACACGCACACACACGCAGCAGCACATGGAAGGACTCCCTCTCTCTGTCTTGTTTGTTGACCCTGCGGTTTATTTTCAGAACACGCTGGGTTCAAGCAGCATATTTCGTCAGACACACACACTTCGAGTTTGCATGTGTGCACCCATATACACAGATACGTCTGGCACGCACAGTTTAATACACAGCACATACAAAAGCTACACGCATCCATACATTTAAGGCCTATACAGACTCGGGAGGGAGTATACATGGAATGGCAGCGATGCCCAAACACTGATCTGACCTGGGTCACTCTCTTTTCTTAAAGTGGAATGTCAGTTATAACTGTGTTTATTTTATGTGTCTGAGGGAGGCTAATCACCGTGAATCTCACCATGGTGAAGGGATCAGCTCTGTCTTTGCAGAGATTCCCCATCTTGCTCACTCCTCTGAGCTAATTTGGGTTCCTGTGTATGCAACAGCGATAGAGCTTGGAAACGCTCCAATTTCCCTCATTTGTCTCACAGAGGGAACTCTGATAGCAAATGATTGGATAAATAAGAGCCAACACTGTCACTGTAAGAGCAAACGCAGCTCTTTATTTCCATCTCAGCTCATCAATTTTAATTGAAATGAACCACAACAACAGGGCATCGTGAGTGACAGTATTTATTCTCCAAATAATTTGTGCTGTCATGTCCTTTCTGGAGATCAAATAAACCGATAAACAGAGGAGTTTTACCGGGAGTCAAAATCTGTCAACTTGTTCTATGTCCTTGTCTTTGTCTATTTGCAGGCTTTTACACAGATTTATATTTTTTCATAGCAATGTAACTGTGTACATGATGTTCACCATGTGACTGTTTGCTCGGTTCCAGATGTCAGTCTGGATCTACGTTGCTGCTGCTGCTCTGTGGCAAGTTTACAGGGGTCTGCGTTTCCTCATACATGGCTACATGTGTCAGAAATGTTGTTAAAAAGATTATATTCTGGATGAAAGCAGAAACCTTTTTAGCAAATGCATCTGCAACTAAACAGCAAGAAAAGGCTGTGTAATTGTGCATCAAATGTGGATTTAGTTTTATTTTGGGGCGTGTGCTGTTCAACACAGGCCAGTTCAATGAATGTTTTCCACATTCAAGAGGAGAGGAAAAAATGCTTAATTATTTCCTTAGCTTAGCAAAGTTAGATGTTTTCTATTTGTTTGTTTTAGTGAGTGAATAATTGGGTTCATAGCTCTCCAGTTACAGTATTATTCTGTTTGTTGTATCTGTCCCCAGTGTTTGTTTGTGCGTACGCATGGCTCGACGGGTGGACGCATGTGTGTGTGTGTGTGTGGAGGTCAAACAGAACCCAGTAAAGCGAGTCACGTGGCCCGACATAGGCCCACTGTAGCTGAGGGATCCTCTGTCTGTCTTCTATTCTGTCTAACTCGCTCACTCTTCTCCCCTCAAAAACCTTTTTTTTTCCCGTCTTTCCACGTGCCTGGGCCTCTATAGTATCTCTGCCCTGATCTGTGTGAGATGTATACAGAAGCACACGTGTCTGTGAGACCCTTCAGGAGGAAAGCAGGATCTGCCAGGCAAACTATAGAGGAAATTCCACAGGCTCAAATGGAGCTGGTGAGCCCACTGAGGGGGCACCAGGACTTGGGGTGGGTGAAAAACAGAAGTATATTGGCAGATTTAGGAAGTAATATTCTCAATAAAGGAAAGATTGGAACAAAGAGAAAAGCATGGAGATGTCATGGAGATTACAAGTTGAGGGCAGGAAAGAAAGGAGGGGTGGATGAAAGTAAAGGAAGGGGAGATGAAGAAAAAGATGGCAAGAGATGTAGAGGGCTCGAGGGGGAGTCTATCTCCGGCAGAAGGGGCAGTTTAGTTTACATTAGCTCATTCATTAGCCATCCACCCTCTGCTTGAAGACTGCTGTGGAATATTGCAATGCAAAGAGTGCATGCCACACATTGTGATCCCTCTCCCAGGACAACTCTCTGTCCATCTGTGCGGTGTTGACATACGGGGTTGTTGTATGTCACACTGTGAGAGGCTCTAGACTGTTGAAGAGCACTCAAACCCCTCTGACCTACAGGAGCGATGGGAGGCAGCTGCTGAACCAAGACAAATGACTGTAGTTTGCTTTTAAATTGAAGTGTCAAATACAGCTCACTTATGAAGAGTTCCAGTACATCGAAGAAGCAAATGATGAAACTGTCTTAACTTTTTGCCAGAATCATCATCTTGTGATTGAAAGTAAATTGTTTTCAGATGTTTTCCATGTTGCTGCATTCAGGTGCTGCTGGGAGGCTTCAGCTTCTGGGCCTTCTGAGTTTTTTTTCTGCTGAACTGCAACCTTTTTAATGCAAGCAACATCTAAATTCACAGGAGTATTTACCTCACCACTGGATTTGATTTTCCGTCCACACAGCATATGAACACCCCACCTTTGAGACTTCAGTCAATACAGACCTGAAATGCCACACAGTAAAGACTCGGCCAAATATATAAAGATGACAAAATAGGATATGATGAGATAACATGACAGATCTTCTATTGTAAGCAGGTTTCAAATTTCTAAAAGCTGATTTCCAGATATGTGTTCAGGGGGAAAAAAACAATAAAAATAAATGAAATCATTTTGTGAAAACGTGCAGATTAGGTGGAATTACTTTTAAATTTTATTTCGGCCCCAATAACCTCCATAAATGAAATTGGTCTGTATGCAGTCTCAACAGCCAAACCTTGGGCAAAAAGAGTCCACAAATCACTCACTGCTGCTCGTAAAGCATACTAGTGTGAAATAACAATAACAACTCAAGGCAAATCAGATGAGCATATCAACTTTTTTTTTTTATCAATTCCTCTTTTGTCTGAAAAGTAGTGAGAAATTATGCCCTTGATTTACACAATTTGTAGTTAAGTAGCTATAATGTTAAAAAAAAATTTAAATGGTGATTAATCCCTACTGTTTTTCCCCCCACCAAAGCTATCAAATTAAGTTAGAATCCTACAGAGGCAAATAAAGACCTCTACACTTTGTGTCAACAGAGCAGTTTACGTACTTTCTAACTTTCT